GATTTGAATTCTATAAACAAAATTTTAAAAAAGAGCTTAAGAATTGAAACGGAAATGCGAAATCTTACCGCAGATTCGTTTTCGCGGCGAACGCAATCGTTTCTTTGTATTCGCTGTTCGAAATGGGCGTTTCCGTCTGGGAGATCTCCACCGGCGCCACTCTCTTCCCTGAAATCCTCCAAGTCTGGTTCGACTTCGGCCATGATCAGGTTTCCTTCTTCCTATCACTAATCGAAACTCCTTAACTTCAACACTTTTCATTTCCAATTTGGTCAAATTACATAAAAGTCCCCACATTATGTTATTTTAACGAATTTAGTCTAACTATTATAATATAATTCATTTCAATTATAAAGTATTATACGTTATTTTACTAATATAAACTTCTAAATTACAAACATTTCACATTTCATTATGGTAAAATTTCATAAGACGTCCCTACGTTCTTTCCTTAAAGAAATTAGTCTATCTACCACGACTTAGTTACTTTCGAATTTTCTATTTTCTTAAATATATTTTTAGTTTAAATTCAATTTATTTTTTTAAACATGTTATACATTTTGACATTTTGTTTTCATTTTTTGTATCTTCTTTAAATACATAAAAAATATTCAATTGAGATGAGAGTTAATTACAATATATGTCCTTAAAATATGACTCTCATTTTAAGTTAGTCTTAAATTTTTAAATATTCTAATTTCATCCTTAAAATGACATTTAAATTTATCTATAAAATTTTGAATGTTTCAAATTCTTCCTCAAAATATGATTCTCATTATGTATTGGTCTGTAAACTTTTTAATGTCTCAATTCCATATTCAATCTTTTAAATAATTTTAAGGGATGTTATTGGAACATTCAAAACAATTTGCGATCAATTTAGAATGAATGTCATAGTTTAAAAGTGAAATTGAAATGTTTTAAAGTTTGATGATTAATTTAAAATGAGAGTCATAGTTTGTGAATAAAATTAGAATATTTAAAAATTTATGGATTAATTTAAAACGAAAGTTATAATATGAAGATTTGATTAAAATAACTCGTGATAAATATAGATTTTTGAAATGTAAAAACTAAGTAAATTGTAATCTAAGAGTAAATTTATTTAAAACCATAATATATGGACCTTTTATGAAATTTGACATTTATTTTAGTTTTCAAGTTTCAGTTAAAATTAGAAAATAATTTAAAATGGGATTAGGTATTCGCGTACTTATTATTGTCGGCGGACTCCGCGGGAACAGCGTTGGCGAAGACATTAAAGGGTACGGACACATGTACGGCGTCGAATTCGTTCTGCGTGCAATCCGACATATCCGTGGCGTTGGGTTTCGCCGGGTTTTGTTTCTCGGGTTGTCGTCTCTGCTATCGGTTTTCGGGTTGCCTGTTTCATAATCAATGGCTCTCGTTTCCATATATAGTCTTTAGAGGGAATACCAATAGCATGCATCTGCTCAAATTTTAATGCTTCTATTTTAACTGTGTACCCTACGCTGCAATTGTTTTCACCGATTTACTGATTTCTTCTTATTTTTACCGTGATGACGTGTAGAGTTCCGTATCTAATGCATTGAAAACTATCCAGCTTATTGCATACACTTGGTTAATTCTTGGAGTATCAATTTGTGGTACCCAACCAAAGTTGTTATGCTTATCCTAAAATCCCTGCTCTAAATTTTTAAAGAGAATAAAGTGGGTGTAAGGTAAAACAAGTAAATTCCAAATGGTTAAACATATGTTTTTATAAATATATATTTTTAATTTTATTCTTATTAATTAGTTGAAGATAGTATCATTTAATATCATCGTGTAATTTTTTAGTGGATTATTTTTAAATAATAAATATATTTATCAAATTTTTAAACAAGCTGTTGAAATATTGGGGGAAATTGAGATGTTTGTGAATTCCACTTCTTTTTTATTTTATCGTTTTATCCCTTTGTTTTTTCTCTCTTTTCTGGCTCTCTTCTTGTGAAAAGAATAATATTGATCTCGTTTTATTTTCCTTATTCGAATGTAGAGACAAGAAAGCTTTATTTTAACTTTGAAGGTGATATATAGCAAAATAGTTGTAGATTGATGGATTTGACAAAATTATATATCTATATATCTTGGTATTTATTATTTAAAAGAAATTTTTAAATACAACTTATTAATACAAGATTAAAAATGATAAAAATCTTTTATAATTAATTTTTTTATGAAGGTAGTAATTTTTAGGTTAGATAGTAAATAGCTGGACACAAGAGGGACTAATAGGGGCCATGGCCCTCCTTAAAATTTTAAAAATTATAATATAAATTCTTAAAATTTTCAAAAAAAATAATAAGTTGCCCCCAAATCAAATTTTTTAAAAATTCAAATTAAACTTTAAATTTTTTGAATGTTTTAATTAAATCTTCTTCCATAATTTTTAAAAATTTTCATTAAATCTCTCAAATTTTCAAAAATTTTAGTTATGCTCTAATTTTTTTTATAAAAAAACTGTAAACTAAACCCTTTAAATTTTTTAAAAATTTTAATTTAAACTTTGAATTTTTTAAAGTTTTAAGTTGCCTCTCAAACTTTATCACCAAGTTCCATCATTGGATAGAGCAATTTTTTTATGTTGAACATGTTGCAACAAAAAATGTTATATTATTCATAATGTTTTTTGTTGTAAGCCCTAAACCTATGCAATAGTTACAGATTTGTATAATTTTTTAGGTTAAAAATTATATCATTTCAAGTTGAAACCAATTAAATTAACCTTAAATTAGAGGGTCGTATCACATGACTACTCCACTCATATGCTTATATATATATATATATATATATATGAGTATGATTCAATTATATAGTGTAAAACTTTTTAGTTTTACACATATTTAAGACTGTTGGATGAGTGAAAATAAATGATATTGACTCTTTGTTTTTTTTTTCCAATGAGTATATTCTCGTTATCCCTATATATATATATATAAATAAAGAGAGAGAGAATAGTGTCAAGTTAGAAACACCAGAAACAATCCTATAACATAATGGACAAAAAAAAATCATGGCTCCATCCTGCAAATATAATCCGACATTTCACATCACAACAACAGCGATATATGCCATGGTGGGTGGGTGGGATGCTCTTCTTTTCTTTTTTCATAACATATCATCAACGATGCTTTTACTTGGGGCTTGGCTCAAAGTGGTTTTTGATAAATTGTTATGTTCTCGTATCAAATATTATATGTATTCGGTACGAATAATTCAAGAAAAATGACGGGATGGAACAATATAAGATGTCCTAGTCTTGAAATGAAGTGCTAGTACTTAAAACTCAATTTAGAGTGTTGGATATTATACCTATGATATAGGTATGTTTCCCCCCCCCCCCCAAGTTTTTCAATGTATTTGAAGGGTTCTTGAAGAGTCGTGTATCTATACATATACCTGAAAATATAATGAATATGGATTCTTCAACAGAAAAGAGAGTTGAAACTAATGTTATTTAATTCGTCACCCACCTCCACGAATTTTGTTTAAATTCGTTCACACGCTAGAATGATGAAATCAGTGTACTAAAAACTCATCACAACAAAAGTAAAGGAATCAAAGACATGGAGAGAGTTGGGAAAAGAGTGAAAGGATTTGGATTTTCTAGAGTGTGATGAAGTACAAAAATAATCACTAATGTTTAAGTAAGTTTCGTTTCTTCGTATTGAAGTTTTAAAACTAACAAATTTGTTAACAACGTTATCGATTTGTAACAAAATAATCACTAACGTTATCGATTTATAACAACCGTCTTCTCCGTTAAATCGATGACGTAGTAACGTTTACAAAGCAATATAAAATAATTGTTCAAGGACCTATTTAATATTTTAGCATTTGTTTAGGGGTAAAACTATATATTAACTTTTTTATTAAAAATCAATAACATTAGTGACTATTTTATTATAAATCGATAATATTAACGACTAATTTGTTAGTTTTAAAACTTGAAAAACGAAAACTTATTTTAACGTCAATGACCATTTATATAATTTACCCAAAAACTACTGTGGCTGCTGGGATTTGAGCCTAGGTCTCCACGGCCACAACGTGGAATTCTTACCACTAAACTACAGCCACTAGTTAACAAGCTTCCATAATAGGGTTATAAACTTCTATACAATTCAGGTATCGTTCTCCAATTTCAGCCTTTAATGATTCTCTTGGTTCGTAATTTTAAACTATTTTCCAGATACTCTAAATAATTTCTCATAATATATCAACTCAGTACTAACTATTTTTAAATCTAAAAATATTACAATTCACGTAATTAAAAAATTATTAATTATCACTAACAATCATTTGATTTAATAAGACAAGACACTAAATCTTTTAAATAAGATAAAAATTTTGAATCTTAATATTATGAACTGAATAAACTGAGTGGAGAAATCATTCATATATTAAATCTATATAATATTCGATTTAGATTTTGATTGATAATCAATCTAAAAAAAATAATTATTTTTGAAAAGGAAATGAATAAACATCATTAATTTTTGGCGTTAAAATGATGGAATTTTGACTTCCGGCATTGTTCTTCCTAATTTAAGATTTAGTTTGAGCTTCGACAGAACTTGTGTTAATTTATTTTTAAGAATATATTAATATAATTTTATATAAATATCAAATGGTTTAATATTTTGGAGTTATTATGTTTTATTGGAAAAGTGAAACTGTCTGGTGAAAAAAATTGTCACACCCCCATTTTTAAATTAAAAATTATAAAATAAATTTAGTTAATTTAGGGACAAAATTGTAAGTTTACGAAGCTTGTAACTCAATTTTAAATATGTAGGAAGTTCAGGGACTTAATCCTAAATTTTTCCTTTTTTGGTCTATAGAGAAAAAAATAAAATATAAAAGTGTGGCTAAGGGGTTTCAAACCTCTATTCATCAGTATGGCCAGCCATCCCTACTATTTAGGTTAGGTCATTTATAATATTTTTAATTAAATATATGTTTTAATTGTTTAAGGCTCGGGTAACCCAAAGACATCCCCCATTCCAGAATTAAAAAACACAAATCCCTAAATTTCCCAACTCCAAATCCTTAACCTCATTGTCGGCCCTCACCAATCCACCACCGCCCGGTCGCCGTAGCCTACATCGCTGCCAGTATTCGACTCACCGCTGTTCGATGACCAAAACTCCTTGGATTCAAACCGAGCATCATCGTCGTTAATCGACGTTCGATCGATCGTTGGAGAACACTTACAACTGCCATGTTTTCTTCATTTTCTAATTGATTTTGCCGACATTCTAGCGCACCACCACTCTTATTAGCTTAATCAGTGTCGTGCGAACAAAACCCAGGCGATCAACGCCTTCCGTCATCGCAAACAGTTGGGGGTAAGTTCCCGAATGTTTTTCAGTGATTTTGGCATGTTTCGAATGTGATTCTGGGCTTGATGTTAGTAGGATTAGTTTAGTTGTTGAATCTGGAGTGATCAGCCATCCTCAATGACCTCCGTTGCTGCTGCACGCGCCACCATGCGTCGGTGGTACACGTAGGGCATCTAGGCTGATCCATGAGACTTTTGGAACCGATCCAGTCAGACCGAACTGGGTCGATCTAAGCCAACTCACTGAGTCAACCGGGTTGATTCAACTATTTTACTTTAACTTATCGTTGACTTTCACTAGAGTTTATTTTGATCAGCTTTGATTTTGATCAAAAAGTCAAATTTTTTGAAAATCCATATTTTATGTTTTTCGACGTTCTAAGTTTGAACCCAAAGTCTGTTTTGCCAAATTCGAACTCGAAAGCTTCTGAATTGATTGTCAAACATGAATATGAATATGTACTTAAGTATTTTATTTAAGAATAATTAAATTAAGGTTAATGACTGATCTAAAATGTTGTTATTTGTAGGTACACGAGACTCTCCCGATCGTTCGACAGTTCGTCCCAACTCCTCTCGATCAGTTCAACCTCGCGAGACAGTGATTACTCGTATGATCCATAAACCAGAAGAATGTTCGAATTAAAATATTAGTTTGATGATAATTCTATTGCATTATAAATTAGGTTCAAGCATTGTTGTAGAGCGTGGCGAGACAGGTGCTCAATAGACTTGTTGATTGATTTCTTTTTCCGATGTATGTTCCTTATCTGCTATATGATTGTTTTATCTGTTTTGAAATGTGATTTACCAAAATTGTTGATTTACTGAATCTTTTAACAACTTGATATTATGATTTACTGGTTGACTGTTTATGAACCACAGTTGTTTGATATATGATATCTGGTTACTTATTTTCACTGGATAATATGATTATGTTGATTTATGAATTATTGAATTCACTGCTTACTGTGTGGATTATTTTATTTAGATAATGTTTTAGGTAGAATACTAAAGTATGGAGGCTCAGCTCTGATCAAACTGGTAATTCTTTACAGATCTAAGACAACGCTTGATAGGCTCTAAGGTGTTAATAACTTTCTTGGGTAGGCTTTCAAACCCCAAGATGATCCCTTAGGTTGGCTCTTATACCTAATAGGGATAAGGTAAGCCCTTAAGGATGAAGTTATAGGGAATTACATTTTAGTGTACGGGAGGAGGACATTTATGAGTTTTAAAATTCAAGCTTCACTATGACTTTTATGATACTTTATTGAACTACTTTTTTATTATTTTACCCATTACGTGTTACTTGTATTATTGGAACACACTGAGCTCCATAGCTAATTTCCCAAAATTTTCCTTTTTTTCAGATACTATTGGATAGGCACCCCGGACCTGACACTTGGAGGATCAACACATTTCGGATAGTACATTTTGTTATAATACTTTTATTTTCCGAGTTGCCTTCATTTTAGGTGACATGTGCATTTATTTTGAAATACTTGTTTTTACGACTTATATTGTTTTTGCTACTGATGTTAGACTTACTGTGATACAAACTATGACATATTTTATTTTACTCAGTTACTTAAGGTGTTATCTTTTCTCGTTTGGATTTTATTGTTATTTACTATGTTTTAAAGATGTTATTTAAAATATGGATTTAAATTATCGAAAAATGTTTTAGAAACTTTTATTGTAATTCGCTAGATCTTGTCGTAACGCATAAGCCAGGTGTAGGAATTACAAAACAAACTTAAATTTTCGTTTCAATGTATACATTTCGATGTTTTTGAGCCCATACATCGAATAAAGTATTTTTTTTTCAAATTAGTTAGGAACATTCTTTTTGAATTATGGAATTTGATAAACTTAAACGAAGTAATATAAGACTTCAAGCTTACGTTGCATATGTTCACGATATCTTTTATCGACATGAGAAGTTAGGTCCAAAAATATAAAAGAATTATAAGATACTATAGAGTATTGGAATGCTATGCATACGCACTTCTTATTAAAAGTCAACGTTTGATCGAGTCAAGTTAAATTTTTTTGAATTAAGAATTGGTATATAATCTATTGATTGACTAATTCAGATCGGATTTTACAAGGTTCTTTATGGGTCGACCCTTCCAACCCAGTTTGCTCCATATGCAATCACCAAGATTTGAACCCCCTAATATTGCTTAAGAAATCTAGTACCCCATCCCAATAGAGCAATTGGTTGTTGGTTTAAACTTTGTTAGTTATTCGAGTTAACAAGTTCTATTTAAATTTAATTATAAATATTTATCATATTATGATACTATTTGATTTCAATTTAAACGGTTTTCTATAACCATGTACAACACATGTATATTTATTCATATATTTTTCATATGTGGTATACATATATCATACAGAGTTGAAGGACTCGACTCAAACTTGAAAATTAATTCACTAGTTACTAAAAATTTTGAGTTATTCAAGTCATATTTTATAGCTCGACTCAAATTTAGAACTTTTTCGAGTCGATCATGAGTTTATGAAATTATAACTGAAAGTCAATTGAAGTCTAGTTTTGCTCACCCCTAATTCTTATTAGAGATTGATCGAGGAACTGAACTTTTAAAAATTTTAAACTTTTATATTGTTTATGTATTTTTTTCTTCATAATTTTATTGATTGAACTAATTTTATGAATGTTAAAACTAGTAAAATTTGATTCTAATTGAATTAAAATTTATTTTTCATTAATGAGATTATTAAATATTATTACTTTCAATAGTTTGAGGTGATTATAAGGTAATATACGTTAATAATATTTCTTAACCATTAATAACATACATACACTCTGTAGATGTAATTGTTCAAACTTAGAACCTCAATGAGAAGAACACTAAATTGTATAAAATGTAGGCTCTATGATTTTGTCTATATTAAAATCATTTATTTTGGTTTATTTTTAATTTGTATAGGAATTAATTTAGGATTTAAGATTTAAAGTTTGTAAATATAAAACTTGAGGACCATTTCATTGAAAATCTAAATTTTATATAATTTATAAATTAAAATGAATAACTATACGAATGATCATTTATATTTATAATCTGGTCGATTTTAGTTACCCATTCAAAAGAGAGTGGTTTTCATTTCTTATGTTATCTATCAGTTCGGTTTTAAACACCCCTCAACAATTAACTCTTGTTAATCTCTTAACGGAACTACTACGCGACAATTAATTTTTTTGAAAAAAAATCATGTGTCGTGTCTTCTTTAATTTTTTCCCCTCTCCTTCAAGCTCCTATTCTCTTTCAAGTTGGAAATATTTTTGAACTTTTGAGTGCAGGATTGTAGAAAGTGTTGCTGAAGGTGTAACTGAAGTCCAACCGGGTGATCATGATTCATGTCATCCATTGTTACCAGGTGGAGTGTAGAGAATGCAAGTTCTGCAAAGACAAACCTATGTGCAGGGCAAAATTAGAACTGCCGCTGGAGCTGGAGTCATGATGAATGATCGCAAGAGCCGCTTCTCAGTAAATGGGAAACCGATCTTCCACTTCATGGGCACCTCAACATTTAGCTAGTACACGGTTGTGCATGATGTTAGTGTCACAATGTATGTGATGCCTGAGTTCGATGAGCACTAATTACTGTAAAATGTAAATGGAGTACCACTTGTTATGAACCTCAAAAACTTCCAGGCCTGGGGAACATCGGTTATCATATAGGTGTTGCCGCATCATGTCGAGAGATATCTACTCAACCTTTCCAATCGGTGACGGCCCTTGGCTTGTGGAGAAGAAGAAGAAGATGACGACGACGATGATGATGTGATAATAATAGTGACGATGATGATATGATGATAATGTTGACGACATAATGAGTTAAGAAGAATTAACATTCGAGATATTAAAATTGAACAGGTCGATAATATAAGAATTAAGATATATATATTTTTTAAACTGGAGACCAAAATTGACCGGAAATATAAAAGAAAATTAATGTAATTTACCCTTACAAAATCGAACCCACGTTCAAATATAGAAGTCCAAATCAAAACGGAAGGTAAGCGTGCAGAGTGCAGTGTTGGGTAGCATGCACTTCATCTGTAGTTATCAAGTTCCACATCAAACTAGACATTAGCTGCATCGTATCCGACGTGGCAGATAAGCCCACACCCTATAATTGTGGACATTTTATCTCTTAGCGGTAGTTATGAGGTGCTATACGGTCCACCATTAAAAATAGGGTAAACTATTCGTTTAGTACTTAAGTTTTAGTCTAATTTAGTACATAAAATTCCATTTTTTCAAACTATGCCTAACATTTTGTTTTTGTTTTATTTTAGTATTTTATCGTTAAAAACTTAACAGATGAACTCGATGATCGTCACTTCTACAGTCGTCGGCCGTCGCATTCGTCAGTTAATAAAACCCAAACTTTCCAGTTCATACCTTTTCGACCCTTGAATGCGATTTTGACCTCCATTCCACCAAAAAAACTCCTCAAATTCCTTAAAACAGAGATGAACTCTTTGATTTCTTCATCTTTCGATCTCCATGGTCCACTATCTGATGAGTTTGAAACTGGACTATATTGGTAGACTTGTCATTCTCTCGTGGTCTAGCGTTCAAATTGGTCATCCGTCCACCAGAGCTATGTCATATCAGCTCGTCCATTAAGTTATTAACGACGGGTATTAAAATGAAACAAAAACTAAACGTTAGATATGATTTTGATTTTTTTGAAAATTTAAGTACTAAAACAGATGAAAACTGATAATTTAAGTATTAAAACATTATTTACTCTTAAAAATATTATATCAACCAATTGCGATTTGACATGTTGGACGCTCAGGAAAAATGTCACCGATAACGTTTTTTTTTCAATAATCCGAAATAATATAAAATAATAGTTGTTCATAATTTTTTTAATCATAATGCACGCTAAAGGTGACAAAACTCAACTCGACTTAAAAAATTAATTTTTGACTAAACTCGATTCGAAAAAACTAGACTCGAATTATCTTTAAGTTGTAATTTCATATACTCAACTCGAAAGAAATTTCAAATTCGAGTCGAGTTATAAAATAGAACTCGAATAACTTGAATAGTAACTCAATTGACTCGAAATTTTTAATAATAAGTGAATTAGTTTTCAAGTTAGAGTCCAGTTCTTCGACTCTATATAGTATATGTATATGATATATAAAAAATATGAAGAAATATATATGTATTATATATGGTTATAGAAAATCATTTAAATTCAATCAAATAATATCATTATATTATTATAAATATTTACAATTAAATTTAAACATAGATTATAATATTTTAAATTATTTTACAGGAATATTATTATAATTTTAAACTTGAATTTAAATAATTTAACATTTTAAATTATTTCATTTATATTCTTATCGAAACGGACGTAAACTAAAAATTTCTAATTAGATTTGGGTTTGTTCTCTATAATGATTAATTATATTCTATTGATAATTAGATATCACTTGCAATTACAACTCTAAAATTATTGGGTAAACAACATCCAAAGTCATTTAATTATAAGTTTAATAACAAATATGTCATTCAATTAAAAAATTATTAGAAATAGACCACTCAATTAAAAAGTGATTATAAATTTATCATTGGTCAGTAAATATTAGTCATTAATAGTGATGTAAATTGATATAATAATTATTTTAGAATTCAAAAACTTATACAGTCTATTAATTTGGTCATATTTGGAATAATTCAATAAATTTAATCATGAATTGCTTGTTCTTTTTTCATAAATATTGCATTAATTTATTGTTACTTTTTTGGTATGATAATAATTTTATAGTAACTTGTTGTTTTATGATATAATGTAATTATCTAACTATTTCTTTGATCTAATGGACTCTCTATCGTAAAAAAATTAAATTGATGAAATTTTAAACATGAAAGATTAAATTTATTATTTTGAATTAAGATAAAATTGATAAAAAGATATATATTTGAAGGATTAAAAATTATTATATCAAGCAGTCCATTTTCATTTTAATAAAAAAAGTCATCATTTGTAACAATATTTTAATTGAGTTGCATGTTTGAAACTTTTGGAAGAAAAAGTGACCTGTTTATTACAAAGTCATGATTAAGTGACCTTTAGTGCAGTTTACCCAAAAATATAATGTACAAAGACAAGTGGTATTCTACGGTTATAATACATCCAACCACATCGAACAAGAATCTCCCAAACCCAACCGAACACGGTAGCGGTGAGAAAGTGAATACGTGGCATTCCATAATTGGTAAGACGTTCTGTAGTTTTAATAAAACTTGTAATATCCACGTCATCACCAGCGTGACTTCATAGACTTCTTCCCTGCAAATCTACAATCCTCTACAACAAACACAACACGGTATAAAAGCTGGTCATAAATCCCACTGTCGAAACATAGTTTTCGTTGAGTATTCTTCGAAAGTCCTCGTGAATTTCAGTAAACTGAACTAAACCCAGATTTTATTTTCAATTTATTTCTCCCAAGGTATGCTCTTTTTTTTTGGCTATTTGGTACAGATTTAGATCTGAGAAAAAAACATGTTTTTTATTTTTTATTTTTTTATAATTTGGTGTGAAATAATGGAGTTGTTAATGTGAAGCTATTGATTGTTTTTTAAGTTTCTCTCTTTTGCTTCCTCTCTCTGGTTGGCGCATACATACAGTTTGGTCATTCAATTTTTATTAATTTTTTTATATTTTTAAAGTATTTAAATAATTCTTTTTCGATCATATTTTGTTCATATATTAGACCACAATCTGTTCGTCTTCACAGGCACTGAGTGTTTGAGTTTGTTCTCTGTGTAGGGTTTCAAGGAAGGGTCTGCAGAAAGAAGAAAAGAAAAATGTCTGCTAATGGAACTGATAACTCAGCTTCTAAGAAGCCTCCGAGTCCATCTCCTTTGAGATTTTCCAAGTTCTTCCAGGTATGAATGATTTCGATTTCGATATTTTCGGGTTAGAATTTACGATATTTGTCCAAACATATTAAAAAAACTCGAATAAATAGAACATATCGATGTCGAATATGTACATGTGTCTTTAGTAACATGGTGTTATTTGCAGTCCAACATGCGAATTCTGGTTACCGGAGGTGCTGGATTCATTGGCTCCCACCTAGTGGACAAGTTGATGGAGAATGAAAAGAATGAGGTTATCGTCGTCGATAACTACTTTACCGGCACGAAAGATAACCTCAAGAAATGGATCGGACATCCAAGATTCGAGCTTATCCGTCATGGTATTGTTCTTTATGTTCATATGCTTCGGTAACATATAGGCTTAGAATGTTGGATTATGTAGTTCAATGATCCAAGGATTGATTGGTTTTTAATCAGATGTCACCGAGCCGTTGCTCGTTGAGGTTGATCGGATCTACCATCTCGCTTGCCCGGCTTCACCGATCTTCTACAAATACAATCCTGTTAAGGTACGTTCGTAACCGTATCTCCTAGTTGAGACATTAATGACTGTGTCTGAAGATTGTGTTTTCATGACATTAAATATCAGACGATAAAGACGAATGTGATTGGTACATTGAACATGCTGGGGCTTGCTAAACGTGTTGGAGCAAGGTTCGCTGTTGCCTATCGACATCGAATTGTTTCTCCTTTTTTCCTTGGGTTTTAATGCCATGGATGTCTGCAAACAGGATTTTGCTTACCTCAACTTCAGAGGTTTATGGAGATCCCTTGGAGCATCCCCAGAACGAGAGCTATTGGGGAAATGTTAACCCTATTGGTATGTTTTCTATTCTACTTGGATATCAAGAACGTGTTTCCGGTTTTTCTGGATATGTATAAGCCTGAACGAGTATTCTAACCATCTTGTTACATGTGAATTTCGATTGATCGGTTTGTTTATCATACTGCAGGAGTTCGGAGCTGCTACGACGAGGGAAAACGAGTAGCAGAAACTCTGATGTTCGATTACCATAGGCAGCATGGCATAGGTAAATGATACAACATTTGCTCACAGCTCGTTATTTCCTGTGTTTCATTTGTCCTCATGGAGATTCTTACTCTTTTTTTCTTATGATAACAGAGATTCGAATTGCTCGTATCTTTAACACTTATGGACCGCGCATGAACATAGATGACGGTCGTGTTGTTAGCAATTTCATAGCTCAAGCAATCCGGTAAATACCAAGACTTTACAGAGATGCTTTAGACGATTCTGTTTTCTTTACTGTTTGCTGCCCCATGCTTGCACACACACTGTTCTTTAACTGTTAAACTTTGCAGCAATGAGCCTTTGACAGTTCAATTACCTGGAACACAGACAAGGAGTTTCTGTTACGTCTCCGACATGGTACGCCGTCAAATTCTTGTTAAAAATTGAACTATTTTACATATCAATGCCGCTTCTCATATTTTTTGTTTAATCGATCAAGGTTGATGGTCTAATCCGACTTATGGAAGGAGAGGACACAGGGCCAATCAATATTGGGAATCCAGGTAATTGTATACAAGTCCCTTTAGTCTCGATTTTCCAATCTTATCGGAACTCTTTTATTTCCGATATCAACTTCGGTTTTTCTTTTCCTGCATTTTAGGTGAATTCACCATGATTGAACTCGCAGAAGCTGTGAAGGAGGTCAGTTTTCCATACATCTTTCATTTAAGTAGATACATTCCGAAAAACAATTAATCGAGTTGGTTGGTGATGTGGTTTTGTAGCTTATCAACCCAGAGGTGAAGATATCGATGGTGGAAAACACTCCCGATGATCCCCGACAAAGGAAGCCCGACATAACCAAAGCAAAGGAGCTGCTCGGATGGGAACCAACGGTGAAGTTGCGCGATGGACTTCCACTTATGGAAGAGGATTTTCGGCTGAGGCTCGGGGTCCCGAGGAAGAACTGATTGAAGTTATCTTACATATACACCATTCCTGGACAGCGGCCGAGTCATATGATCCAGTTATAGTAGAAGCCACAAATATAAAGTGTTATTATCTCTTTCCTTTGAAGTCAATTTCCAGTATGTTTTATGTTGATGCACAATAATGGCAGCATCTTTTATCTCCGGTTGAGTCATTTTGGATGGTTTCTTCTGTGTTTTTAGACGGTATATTTTTTATCCGACGATTCAAAAATCATGCGAATCAAACTGAAAAAGGTCGAAAAAAAATGAATAAAATCAACTTTTTATTTTTTGAAGTTCGACATAGACAGGACGTTATGATCCGCCAGAGACCCTCTAAATATATGGAAAAACAGAGAAAGAAATGAATATACCTGTGTCGGATAAATACCTGTATCTGACACATCTGTATCGGATAAATACTTACATCCGACACGGACTGAGGATCAAATGACATAAGAGGCAAAAAAATCCTTTGAAATCGGAACCCCTAGGCTTCTATCACCCCTTGAACCTTCTGTTTTTACTCTTTCTTTTTCACAACCTTCTTAGGCGCTTCAGCTCCACCATTGTCATCCTCCTTTATTTGTTCAATTCTTGCAAAGACTGGCTTAGGATGAGCCATCACTTGACCACCCTTTAGCCGACCCCACTTTGTTTCACTCTGCAGTTACCAACATTCGACGCGGTTAATATGACGATAAACTTATGCAAGTCGGCATACATACATATTGCAAGAGAGAGAGAGAGAGAGCGTGTACCCAGTTTAGGTTATCAAACTGGTCCTCGGAGTAGCCAAGTTGTGAATGTATCCGCCTGCATAAGCTAGGCGCAACCGGTGACAGAGCAATCGCTATAATCCTCATAGTTTCGAGTATGATCACAAGATCCTGTCCCAAAATCAGAAAAGATAAAAGCTGTCAAATATGATAGCCAGTCATAGAATAACAAGTGTGTCAAATCGTGCAATATCTATGTTACTTGGACTTCGGTGTGTGTGTCAAACACGGATATTTGCATACCGACAGACATGGGTGTTAAACGCCGGTGCTTCGAGCAAAAGAAAACCCCTTCATCGGAACAATAGAGTGCAAAATATTTGTACGTAAAGATATGTAAATGAAGGCAGAAGAACCTTTGCAGCAGCTTCAGCAGCGTCACCTCCTTGCTTAAAAAGAGACCATGGTTGATGCTTATCCATGTACAAGTTTCCAGCATTGCCAATCTCTAGCACAGCTTCACAAGCTGATGATAGGGACAGATTTTCATAATGGATACGAGCTTTTTCAACCTAAATAACATACGGAACAGAAATACATCAGTAATTGACCTAAAAGATACCATTAATGTGGTCGGAAAGCTAAGAGAGGAAATTTGAACAAAAAGTTTCCGAAGTTGAGCATTGGGGCAATATTCATTTACATTCCAAAAATCCAAGAATTCATTACCAAAAACCCAGTCATTCCTAAAATAGGCAAATGTGGTAAGAGAATAATCTAAGAATTCCTTAAGAAATTGCCTATGCTGCTTGGTCTTCAAATTGAGTATTGGATACCAGTAATTTTCCAACACCGGTATGCTCAAATTTTCATTTTCCTCCCATCTATTTGGGAAATCATATCTGATACTTACGCTCGAATATGTTTCGGACATGGGTACTTTAAGAAAAATGCAAAGTCGCAATAACATGGGAAACTACTACCTATTCCTGAAGGTATGGCATTAGATTCACAGTAACCTTACCAGCTTCTCAACGGTATCCTTAAATTCCTTTCCTTCAGCCGCAACAGTTGAATCAACCACTAAAGTCGACTGGCAGTTCTTCTTAAGAAGTCCAAGAGTACGGTTGAGAAGATTTCCTGCAATATAATCGAGCTCGTATGCATATCAATCCGGTTCTAAGTATATTAAAGAACGAAACAATAAAGCTGCTCAAAAACTAATTATAGTAACCGAAACATACCTATTGTGTTGGCAAGATGTGCGTTGACAATATTAATGAAACGATCTTCAGAATAATCCCCATCGTTTCCGAACTCTACCTCCCTCAGGAAGAAGTACCGGACTGCGTCAGCTCCAAATTTATGCACTAATTCATTCGGTTCAATCGTATTTCCTAGCGATTTCCCCATCTTCATGCCATCCTATAATTTTCAAAATAAAAAGCATTGCTGCATGAAATAAAATTACGTATATGAGAAAAATATACATACATACATACATATATATATATATATATATATGTTCAAAAGAATTTGCTTGCTCTCATGGAAAACATAACCACAGGCCAAAAAATATAGGCTAAATATGCAGCTTAGTTAGCGTGAATATATATATGCAAGTTACATCTCCAAATATTTGTACGGACATTCAATTTCTTGAAGCTATCATATAAAGTTTTACGATTCGAATATTTTGCACCGACTTAAAACTGAAAACAATAGGCTAAGCTTCATGGTGTTCAAGTACCTTTGTCAAGAAACCATGGCCGAACACCCTCTTAGGGAGACTCAATCCAGCAGACATCAGCATAGCTGGCCAATAAACAGCATGAAAACGTAAAATATCCTACAAAAAGAGAACAGAAAAAGAAAGAGAACGTCAAACTCTTTACAATCCGAATGGGGAATGTAACTCATTCACTCGAGTAACATTTAAAAATGGTGATAACTTTATAAAATTTATACAAGTCTTCCTACTTATAACTAGTCCTGAAGTCAAGAAATAATATCAAGATCTATGTTCATGAAACAAAAGTGTAAAAGGGTCATCATTTTCAACAATGATTAGTCCAAGGAAATCGATACTGGGAAATGTCGTGCAATGAGGCAGCATGAGGATGAACAAGAAGTTTTCTGGAAACATCTTGGATAATGAGACAACCAGCTTTCCAAAAGGATGGAAATTGACAAAAAATCAAAGGAAACCGATAATAGGAAATCAAACATTTTAGTGCATATGATAACTCTTGCCCTGTTGATAAGTTTCATACCTTTCCAATCAAGTGCAACGAGGCAGGCCAACCCGAAGAAACAGCACTTTGTAAATTAGGTTGATCCTTTTCCTCCAGCAGAGCCGATATATAGCTGTTTTAAAAAAGTTGTACTTGTTAAAATTCTTATTCAACAAAAATATCTGCAATGAGAAAATAAGCAGATATTAAGTAATAAGTGGAATCTTTGATCATTGTCGGTTCTTTCGTTGTTTTCTTTTTCAATATTTTCTGCAGCTATTAAACCATAAAATCTAATAGGTTTCAACCGTACCCAAGGAGTGCGTCAAACCAAACATATATAGTTTGCTTATTGTCGTTGGGAACCGGAATACCCCAATCCACAGCTGCTCGGGAAATTGAAAAGTCTCTTAAGCCATTTTTTATCCAGCTTTGCACCTGGAAAAGCTTATCACTAAGATGAGTTTTGCAATGAACATCATTCTATCCCAAAAAGAGTATAGTTGTACTTTGCTTCACCTCGTTCAATCGGTATGAAGGCTGAACAAAATCTGGGTTTTGTACCAAAATTTCTTCTAATGATTTTTGGTATTTCGACAATGCAAAGAAATAATTATCCTCTTTGCGAGGAACACATGGCTTTAGGTGTGTAGGGCAACAATTGTTTTCGAGCAGCTCTTTTTCATCCTGCAGAATGTTGCAACAAGCCATTCTTAAGTAAAATAACCAAGGGAATTGCAAGAAAAAGATGCTGCATAGGCATATCGATGCTTTATTCAAACCGTATAATCTCATCAACTTCTAGAAATAATCAAACAAAGAATTCAATGTTTTCTGCTCGAAGCATAAAAGAAAAACACCCTTTAATGAAGATTTAGTCCACACTAAAATCTATGAACACGTTAGTTGCTATAAACAAGTCAAATGCGGCGTACAACCTTATATTCCTCGCAATTGACACAGTACAGTCCCTCGTAGTCAGCCCGGTAAATGTCATCATTGGCAAGAACTCTAGAATAGAATTCCTCAACGATTGCTTCATGTTTTGGATCAGTCGTACGAATGAATTTGTCATAAGCTATATCTAACTGCAATCAGGAAAATATCAACAATCATAACAAGATCCAAAATCTCAATTACTTGGACCGATAAAAAGGGCATTTAAAAGTATTACATCTTTCCACAACATTTTATAAGCTTGAGATATAACATCACAATGCTCTCTTGGGCTGGAGCCAGCAGCGGATGCTGCAGTAGCTATCTTCTCACCATGCTCATCCGTCCCGGTAATAAATACGACTCTCTTTCCCGAAAGCCTCTGCCACATATAAGAAGAAAACAATATAAAACAAGTGGGATATTCTGCTTATTTTTCATTTTTCCATTTGTTTTCTACTCCTAACAAGTTGTTATAAAGCAAAACCATGGAATGCATATTAATAACCACTTAGGAGCCGCTGATACCGATTGTAACATGTACAAATACATTGGTTCTTAAGAAATAAACAAGCAGCAAAACCAACAACCGAACTAGTCTAGCTTTATGGACGCAGGATTTTATGTCAGCCGTGCGAACTTAAGGAGTTATATTAGAAATTCAGGGGTACTAAATTACAAAATTTCAAGGAGTGCGAAACTACCAATTTATTATCAAAGTTCTAAACCAGAATTAAATATATTACACAATATCAATAACTGAAACACGTTGAAACCAAGACACCATTTAAACAATACCTGAAACCTGGCAATGGCATCAGCCGCAATAATAGTCTAGCTGTTCTTATGTATTCTGGTAACCATAATTAGCAATTCCAGTACACAATACCAATAACTGAAACCCATTGAAACCAGAGATAGCCGAAGGGTCGTCCTGAAAATTTCAAATTCTCCTACTTTATATTATATACTGATAATATGTTATTATGTTTTCGCCCTTTAAAATTTTATAATTCCGCTACATAGTATAAAATCCTGCATCTGTCCCTAATTGAAACCAATACACCATTTAAACAATACCTGAAACCTGACAATGGCATCAGCAGCAAAACCAACAACCGAGCTAATCTAGTTTTTCTTATGTACACTGATAAGGAGAGACGGACTCAAGATTTTATGTCAGGGTGAAAACTTAAGAAGTTATATTAGAAATTAACGAGTACGAAATAACAAAATTTCAAGGGTTGCGAAACAATTTCCAGTATCAAAGTTCTAAACAAGAATCA